TATGCCATATGTGCGACATTGACAGTCAGTAACAAAATGTGTGGGAATGATAATATACCATATATACAAAATTAGCAGTCACTACCAAAATGCGTGAGAATGATAATATACAAAATTAGCAGTCAATGCCAAAATGTGTGAGAATGATAACATACCATTTATGCAAGTTTAAACAGTCAATACCAAAATATGTGGGATCTTATCACCTCCCCCCGTAAAGAGTGTAGGACTTGCTTCTTGGATCTATTTGAAAAGGTTTCGGAGCTCTTCTTTGTCGAGTTGACCTTTGCGTGGTACTGGATAGAGCGTGATCTGTGTGTCTGCCACATAGCTGTCCTTTTTCATTCGTACGATAATGCAGCAAGAATTTATCCAAAATTTTTTCTGTTGTTCCCTTCCCCTTCGCTTTTGCATAAGCACGCTTAAAGGTGTCGACGAAACGTTCAGTAATAGTTGACGTAGGTGGGACACTGTTGCAATTGATGTGGCAGAATGCATTGGAAATATCTCTGGCCATTTGGAAAACGCGTCGACACATATTAAGAAATGCATACTATTGAACGGTCCAGCGAAGTCAACATGAACACGGGACCATGGTTTGTCCGGTCGTGGCCAGGAACATAGTTCTGTCTTGCGTGGACACTTTGATGCTTCAGCACATTTACTACACTTGCGAACGAGGTCTTCGATATGGTCATCGATGTTGGGCCAGTAAACATAACTGCGAGCGATCGCCTTCATTCTCCCAACACCAGGATGTGATATATGAAGCTGTCGAAGCACATGGTCACGAAGATTAGCTGGAACGACAACACGATCAGCAAACATTATGCATCCATTAACGATGGATAGGGATTTGCGTCGCTGGTAAAACTGTTTTAAAACATTTGAATGAACATGTGGAGGCCAGCCAAATCGGATGAACTTTGATACTTGCTGTAAAACTGGATCACGCAGTGTGTGTCTGGCAACCTCAACTGCAGTCACCGGAAGATCGTCCAGAGAGATAGACATTATAATTGGGTTGTAATTAACACAGTCAAAAATGTTATATAGTTGCGCTGAACAGAATAAAAACTGTCGTCGTTTGCTTGTTATAACTGCGATGAATTAAAGTAAATCCCCGTCGCCAATTGTTATAACTGCAATGAATTAAGGTAAAACCCCGTCGCCAATTTGTTATAACGGTAGGGAATTGAATGAAGACGTTTTCACCTTATTCTGTCTGCGCCTGAACTAATCTGTCTATCTGCTCGTCGTACCTTCCGACTTAGTCAAGCACGCAAATATCAAAAGACAAAGGCTGGACTGTGACTGTGTATTGAAGTGCAACAACGATAAAGAAAGCCACGGTATTTATACATTTTACAACAATATGGACAGCTAACAGCATTTGAAATAATTGACCTTAATAGCCAATAACAAAGTGTGTGAGAAATGATAATATGCCATATGTGCGACATTGACAGTCAGTAACAAAATGTGTGGGAATGATAATATACCATATATACAAAATTAGCAGTCACTACCAAAATGCGTGAGAATGATAATATACAAAATTAGCAGTCAATGCCAAAATGTGTGAGAATGATAACATACCATTTATGCAAGTTTAAACAGTCAATACCAAAATATGTGGGATCCCATCAGCTATACAGAACTTTCCAGAGCCACAGACGGTGAAAAGTCTCCGCACTTTTAACGGCTTAGTAAGTTATTATCGACGCTTTATTCCCGACTGTGCCTCTTTGATTCAGTCATTGACAGACCTTCTTCGAGGGAATAACAAGTCCATAGAACTTGACGCGTCTGCTCGAAATGCTTTTACCCAGGTTAAAAAAGCTATTACAAATGCCACACTCCTGATGTATCAGGATCCAACGGCACCGTTAAGTGTCTCGGTTGATGCATCAAACACTGCAATCGGCGCAGTTCTACAACAGCTAGTTGACAAAGAGTGACATCCACATGCCTTTTTCTCCAGGCGCCTTCAATTAGTTGAAACGAAGTACAGCACATTCGGCAGAGAACTTCTGGCTATGTACTGTGCTATACGTCATTTTCTACATTCAGTAGAGGGTCGTGAATTCATAATTCTTACTGATCACAAACCTCTGACGTACTGTTTGAACTCACCTTCAGATAAGTATTCACCTAGGGAATCACGACAACTGGATTACGTTTCACAGTTTACATCAGATATTCGCCATGTATCCGGAGTGAACAACACTGTGGCAGATGCCTTGTCGCGCGTTTGTTCCCTCACCCAAATCGACGGCATAGACCTTGTAAAACTGGCTCGTCTTCAAAAAGAAGATACCGAGCTTCAGCATGAGTTGTCGAAAACAACTCTACAATTAGCTGAGAAACCCTTAGGTATGGGAAGAGATACTATTCTATGTGACATTTCCACGAGTACCCCTCGCCCCATCGTGCCTAAAAGTTATCGCCGTAACGTCTTCAATACGCTGCATGGCTTATCTCACCCAGGTATTCGAACTACTGTCAAGCTCATAACTAGTCGGTTTTGTTGGCCTGGCATTAATAAAGAAGTAAGGGAATGGGCACACACGTGCTTAGCTTGTCAAAAGTGCAAGGTGATAAGACACACCAAAAGCCCACTTGGCACCTTTCTTCTCCCTGACGCTCGTTTTGAACACGTCCATATAGATTTGGTTGAACCCCTTCCTGAATCCCATGGATATACTTATATTTTAACTTGCATCGATCGCTTCACATGATGGCCGGAAGCAGTATCCATCAAGGATGTATCCGCTGAAACAGTCGCACGCGTCTTCGTAGAAAGATGGATCGCTAACTTTGGATGCCCATCTTCCATAACAACCGTTCGTGGGCGGCAATTCGAAAGTGGCTTATTCTTCGCCCTGACTAAAATCCTAGGTTGCATGCGTTTTCGAACAACAGCCTACCATCCTCAAGCTAATGGTATGGTAGAACGTCTACACAGACAGCTGAAAGCTGGTCTGTCAGCTGCAAACAACACCAATTGGACTGAATCCCTACCGTTAGTTCTCCTAGGGATACGAAACGCCTTGAAAACCGATGCTGGTTGTACTAGCGCCGAGCTAGTATATGGCACGACACTGCGACTGCCTGGTGAATTTGTTTCTCCCTCGAGCTTCCCACCAGTGGTAGATCACGCTTCATACGTCAGCAGGCTTACAAACGCAATGCGTTCAGTTAAACCTGCTCCCACTCGTCCACAGTCCATTGATGTTTTCGTTCATCCGTGTTTAAAAACTTCTTCACATGCATTTGTTCGTCGCAACTCTGTGCGCAGATCCCTGGAACCTCCACACGACGGACCTTATAAAGTAATTAAACGTTCTGATAAATTCTTTGTCTTGGACAAAAGGGGCCACGAGGACACCGTCAGCATTGACCGTCTGAAGCCGGTTTACTTGGAGGGTAATCCTATTAGCATAGAGCTGAACGTACACCAAAATCCACAAGTAACAGAAGATCGTTTAGACATCGATGAAGTCACTAGAACAGTGACAGCTACCGAACCTTCTATCGAGCCTCCCAAGAAAACCCGTTCTGGACGTACCGTAAGGTTCCCAGAATATCTGCACACTTATGTGACATAACGAAGTCGTGTGATTCACGTAACTCATTCGTTTGTGGTACTAACTATTTTTTTTTGACGTATCATTATTTTTTATATACAGTACCACTGAACACAAAATTTTTTTCCCAACAGTTCATGTAACATACACAAGAAAAATTAATTAGATGTATTTTTTTCCGATGTTCTGAACTTAGCATTATTTTACTGTATAGTAAACGCACATCATTTTTTTAACAAAAAAAGCTGATTTGGTACATTTTCCTCGGCATGGTTCTTAGCGTTCTTGTTTTCTTTTCCAGGTGTGACGGGCACTGGACAGGAAACAAACGAAGCACGGGATCCAACGAACAACAACAAGGAAGCTATGTACAAACACCCTATTAGCATAGGCAGACACACCAGTAGGTATACGACCAAGCCGCTCGGAAGATTTTTTTCACCCGAAAGGGAACCATCGAGTTATTTTACTTCCGGCTGGTTCTGTCTTAGGGTCCTCACGACCCCACTAGGGGGGGAGTGAGCTGTAGCGGTAAATAATTCCCCAAAATTATTGACCACAGCAATCACTCACCATTGGGTGCTGACCACCACTATGTAAATCGACTTGTTTAGCTGAAGGCTTCCGGTCAAGCATCCCGCCATTTTGGTACCCCGTCGTGTCACGTGCACGATCACTAGCTAGCTAAGCGTTCGTCTGAAGGCTTGTTTTGGTCCCGAAATATATCACGAAGTTTGGACGATCAACTATTGGCTTTTGCCTTGTTTTCGGTACGCGAGAATAATTTAGAGGCTGTGTGAGATAATTCCGTCAAACCCCTAAACCTGTACGGCTCATGCAGCTACGGCACTATCCGTGAATAACTTTAAGTGAAGACTTGACAGTCATGAAACGATACAAGGACTGCGTTCAAACCGCCTGTCCCCTTAAAATACCAAAAACTATTAATCGGCAAATACCCAAACTCAGGGTTTTATTTCTCCACATTCCCTCCTGTCTACTCCAAATATTACCTCCCTTGGAATGTTACTGTTGATGTGCATACATGTATATGTGTACGTATACAAATGTGCTATGCAGAAGTATAAATATGTATATCGACTTCAAATTTCACCAGCTGTCAGCTTTTACGTTTACAAATTTTTTTTAATTCACACCACCTACACTTACAATAGCTCCTATCATTATCTATTATTTGATGACGCCGGATGAATAACGGATGAAAGAGTCAACTTCATTTAAAGTAGCGACACGGTCTTAACACAACACAAACATCAATCCATACATAACCAGTCTCCTCACCACTCTTCTGGGGCTCAGCCAAGGCTGCAGCAGTCGAATGAAGGGACGAACTACACAGAAATTCACCGAAGATCAGGAACCTTTACGTCATAGTCAAGAAGCGAGTACAGAAAAATCAAAGTGGCCTACAGTATCTTGCAAAACTGATATTGGATATATTGATTAGACCAACTGCAAAGCGCTCTATTTGACGAATTCAGCTACCGTGACTATTTCGATGCAATGAAGCGTCTGGGGAAAAATAAAAAGAAGCGTTGGCAGTATTGCTACAAAGATCTTGAGTCCAAGCTGCAAGATGCTGAAAAGCATAGAAAAATGTGAGTTTTCCATAAATGACTCGTGAACTGCTTCAGAATCAAGCAAGGCTTTACTGAAGTATCTACATGTATAAAGAAACGTAGGTGTCATATGTGCTATTTCTGAACAAGGTTAAGGTCCTATCGTGAAAGGCGATAAGGATTCCGCAAAGTCGTTCCGAGATATACCATCCGCATCAGATGGAAAAATACGTATCCCGCGGACAGATATCCAGAAAAAGCGTCGTTTGGAGAAAGATGTCTGGGAAGGTCTGATAGTTTCTTATCCGATAACTAGATTTAGATAATTCGCTGACTGCCCTGCCAACTGTTAAACAAGATGCTAGTAAAAGTGCAGAAGAAACAAAGATCAGTGTCCCTCTACCGTGCGCCGGACAGTCATATAACCCGACATTGCAGGACCATCTTTCTCTAATGTCACGAATTGAAATGATTGAATCAGCCAAAAGAAAACGCGAAATGAAAACGGAGCGTTTTGTCGAGAGTCTCAGGGGCGTGAAAACGGTAGGAATCACTAGTAATATGTGTTATTTTTAGGAAGTGAATCCCGTGAGAGATATGAAGAAGTTCTTACAGTCACTAAATGATAAGCCTCAGTTAAAAAGTGAAAATGAAGAACCTGAAGTTTTACCTCGTTTGAAAAAGCCCAAAAAGGTGAATGTCCAGAAGAGGATGAAACACGAACTTGAAAAGTATAATGTTATATATTCACAAAATATTTTTTAGCCTGCCAAAACTACTTAAAGAAATAAAACGCGAGAAAACAGCTAGATCACTGCGCAAATCGTCAAAAGCGGCAAAGCGGGAAATGCGCAACAAACTGAAAACGATGGATATGAACATCCCATTCCACTTGCCTAATGAAATACCTTCGTCGCTGAGGAAGCTTTGTGTAAGCATGAGTTTGTTTTAGATTCTTTCAGTTTTTCTTTTGAGTAAGACTTCAACATGTCCAATGTACTTTAGTCTCAAGTAGTGCTGCTTTTTCTGTGATAATGAAGACAGCAGTCAGCACTCCCCATTTTTGTGTTATGGATAGCAAAAATGAAGTTATGGAAGTGTGTTAATAGATTGATTGCAATGTTGGGAAAAATCTTCTCTAAGGTCCTTATTTTGTGTGTACTTTAGACAATATATTGTGGAATTAGCCACCACAGTGATTGCATGTCAGGTGATAGAAAGTGATTCAGTGAAAGCCTAGATGCAATATTCTAAATTAAGTGTAGTCTTTGGTATATTTTTTAAAACCCAATTCTTTAATTTCGTTGTTATTAGTCTTCCACTTGTCACGTTCAGAGTTAGCAGACTCGATGACTAAGCAGACTCTAAGTCTGCTTAGTCATCGAGCATATTTCGGGAACTGACCGTTAGTGATTTCTAGAATCTTATCTGCAGTAATAGCTAAGTCCTCTATTACAGTACCCTGAAGTGTCACAGGTACGGTCTGTACAGACTGTGGCAGCTTGGATAAGAAGAGTTCTCTAAATAGTCCTTCGTCAAACTGACTTTGGCCAACAACTTCTTTCATTCTTGTCAGCATGCTCACGGCTGCCTGACCTCCTAACTCGATGTTACGAAATAATTCATCTAGACGTTGTCGGTCCGTGATAATGTTTCTCCTTAGGAGGGATGCTTTGAGCAACTCGTACGAGTTACTTACCTCGGGACTGAACATCTGTGATGTTACGTACTTGCTGAATTCCCGTGGTAGGGCGTGAATAACTGCAAGCAACTGTGAACGTTGATCGGTTATCCCATGCTCATAAAAATCTTCTTCAGCTAGCAGAAACCAAGTTTCAGCGTTATCTGGCCAGTATGGTACGAGCTGAATGGTTTTAGGAGTTGAGCGGATACGAATGACTTTGGGACTAAGATCACTCATGACGAAAATTATGTCGAATTATATATGGTACAAGAACAAATACAAAATGGAACGAACTCACCAGGGTTATCTGCGGATTTATCGTGGATGAAGTTCGCGGTTGGGCTCACCAGTTTACAGGTTTGACAGAATTATCTCACACAGCCTCTAAATTATTCTCGCGTACCGAAAACAAGGCAAAAGCCAATAGTTGATCGTCCAAACTTCGTGATATATTTCGGGACCAAAACAAGCCTTCAGACGAACGCTTAGCTAGCTAGTGATCGTGCACGTGACACGACGGGGTACCAAAATGGCGGGATGCTTGACCGGAAGCCTTCAGCTAAACAAGTCGATTTACATAGTGGTGGTCAACATCCAATGTTGAGTGATGATTGCTGTGGTCAATAATTTTGGGGAATTATTTATCGCTACACAGGGTTGCAGGGATGGCAAACTTTCATCGAAAAGAAATAGGAGCGCGCTAGATTCTTTGCCCTCCGATGAGCTATCCTTCGTGGATCCCCACGTGGATTTCCATACGTACTTAATTGAAGAACACCTTTGTCCAGGTGTTGAGTCGAATTTTGATACAAGTGGACAGAACTTTTTTCCGAAACTTTCCTAGTCGATGGTGAGACACTGTTCATAGAGCATACATTCAGAAGAGTGCTTTTGACCTTGTTTGTCTATGCATTATCTGGAGTCTTATAAACGAGTATGTTCTTCTGACATGCTGTACGTTGATGCACCTTAGTTGCAACGTAGTTTATCAGGTTCATATGAACTGTGATCAAAATTTGACAGTATAGTTCCGAAATGATTGGGTACAGAATGAGTAGACATTTTCAGAAAAAATTATATTTGTAAAATCCCAGCGAAAATGAAGTGGTTAACTCCAACGTTTTATTTGGCAACCTGATTTATCAGGTTTGCGAAAATGCTTAAGGTGAAATACTACTACTACTGCTAATGTAATTAAGCAATGCCAATCTTAACATTTTTTCTTCCAGCCCCTTAATAATGGAAAATAATTCTTCAATTTTACCCACACAACTAGATAGGGAACTGAATTAGTAAGAGGAGTCACACTGTCTGCCTCGCGATTGATATCACAGAAGGCTTTGCAGCTAACGGCCTGGAGTTTTATATATGTTGTCGCTATGTATACTATTCATATTTTTTATTACACAGGAAGGAGTACAATAGTCGGACTCAGTATGTCTGTTGCAGCAGGCCCGTATGTTGTTGCAATATCACTCGATATAGTTCTATCACATCCTGTAGGTTTTTCGTCTCCGTTTGATTTGTGTCGTTTGCCAGGATTTGTGGCAGATTGTGGAGTCACCAGTTTAGGTCCTATTACTGGCATTTTAAACAGTGTTTTAAAAGAATAAGTGAAGTATCTGTATGGTTGGTATTAGAGTATACGCGACTTTAACTGTCTAATGCTATACGCGTTCAACAGTTTACATAAATGAAAATATGGGATTAGAGTATGAGGACGCTATACAAATACTGTAAATGCGAAGATGGGATATTAGATATGACAGAAACACTTAGGCAGACACTAACTATAATGGATAATCTTGACTGGTGTAGTTATATTTAATGAAAGGATAGGACTGAGTACTTAATGCTATTTGTAGGAGTCCTATTAAGAAGTTACCTATAGAAGAAGAAAAGGTTTGAGGGAAACCACGTGGAAAAGTAACAAACTCTTCTCATTGCCACACTAGAAGGAATTCTCAACGTTCAGATGCTGACACCCAGAAGGGATGATGTCGAGTATTTCGGTGTTTTGACTTCAAATAAGTTGTTATATTTTCGATGAGACCCATATGTAGGAGAATCGAACACAGGTACCAAGGCTACGATTAATAGATGGAGATAAGTCAGATATCTGAAAGACGTGATTTGAGAGGGTCGTTTAAGGAATGTGTGTTATCGTTGCAGAGCTAAGAAATTGACGAAGATGATGTAGAAACCCTGGTGTTGGTAATATTGTGCTAGTGTAACAACAGAAGACAAGGGCCGGCAACAGATCGTTTTTATTACGGAAATCAACACGTATTTATATATATTTCCTGTACATTATTATAGCTTATTCAAGTAGACAAACGCAGTCTTCTGATTTGTTGTTTCTGGTAACCTCAGAAAATGGAGCCATCTATCTGTGAATCATGTTTGCCCACGTTAAGCCTGCTGTGATTGGCTGTTGAATTAGCCTTGTTCATATTTTCTCACGCCCAATATCAGTGACTTAGACAGTGAGGTAGATTAATGCCTACCAATTGGCTAGCAGCTTGCTCTCACCACACTGGTGGTAGACAAGACTTATGCAGGCGGTTGGTCTTTACAAAGGATAGTGTAAACGTTCGAAGTGAAGAAACGATATTTTCTGGTAGTGATATGCAGCAGTATACAATAAAGTAATATACCTAGCCTGGTAGCTAGGTATTATATACATATACAATCAGACTACAACATGGAAGCCAAGGTCTTGTTCGTCGAACATCTGATTGTCTACCATGTGTTTCAATCTGCACGGATAAATAAATTGGTCGCTGAAGGTGGGACGGCTAAAGTTTAATTCATCTGATGAACTTTTTTAATCCTCTGCAATTTCTTGAGATACTCAAGTGTTGGTTGCCAGGCATTCAATTTGTTTCGGGATTTCATCATTAGCTGACATCGGTTTGAGAACCATTAGAATACCTGGGAGTACTGGACAGTTCTTTCATTACATTTCGCGACTCTTAGTCAGCCTGCGCCTCAGCCAGGGTTCTAATCCAGGACATTTCGGTTACACGGCGAGCGCGTGGGCCACTAACCTACTGGGTCCCAGTGTAATGGCCCATGAATTCCAACTTCTGTGGAAAATATGGTGTCAATCACGTCTCATAAACCGTTAATGCCCAGCTCTCGCTACGCTCGGGCCCACGCTGTTCCTTTGAGTTTTCTCAGAAACGCTTAGTTATAACGGACGAAAAAACCAAAACACCGATCTGCCGTTTGATATTTCTGTATTGTTACACCAACATATAAAAGGAATAAGCGAACTAAGGTCTGAAAACAAATATTACAATAATAAATCATAAGATTACTTCTGATGATGTTTCACTCTTCTTTCTGAACAGCGACCGATGAGACGATGACTGTCGTATTGATGCCTCCGCGAAAATTGGGGAAGTTGATTTTAAGCAAACAACCAAGAATTGATCGTTCAATCTTCAACTCCATTGACACTCCCCGGCAAAAAAGGGATCCAACCCTTTTTTCCTTCACGACCAATGCACGTCGAATTGGATGCCATTGCGAGAACCTGGGTCACACGGACAGAGCTGAAATGGAAAACAAACAGAAAAGCCAACACACCACAAGCATACCCAGAGCACAATCTCACACATCAATGACGACCTGCGCCTCCAGACAGAGACCTCCTCTTGACATCTTGCAACACAATCGCCACTTGCTAGAATGACTCTCGCAGAATGCAAAGTGACCATGGCAGGACCTCACGATACTCTACGCACATCCTCTTAATTACTCACTACCAATTACCATTGAAATCGCTTGTCACTCATTCTGCCTCAGTTCTAGTAGCGGTGACGCATGCGAGCCTCAGTCGTTTACACTCTTTCTCCCCGACGTGTCGGACCACAGCTAACAATTATCTCCGTGTGCGTTTCATTCTCAGCAATAGCCTAACATCCCCGGCGTATACGACCCATCTGCTGTCTCTAACATCAATCAATTCATTCATGGATGTAGAAGACAAGAAACAACTTCAGAAGTAATCACGACGAAAATTTTAACAAAATTATGCAATAAAAACAAGGTACGAAAACAACGAGTAAACACAATGAATTCAAATAACACCAATTGATATGACACACCACACGTATATACAAACAGTACACACAAACTCGCATTTCATGTCTTGATGGAATACCCTTGAAGAATTGCAGGACTTACACCAGTACGCCTACAAACCTGCACAGGTTGACGATTGTAAGTTGTGGAATGTCCAGACACAAACAAGATTAACCAACAATTACATCAATTGGAACTCACACAACTATTTAACACAAACATATGTACAATCAACACATCAAATGTTGTGGATTCTGACACGACAAACTACCCTTGAAGAACCGTAGGACTTACAGCAGTACGCCTACATTCCTTCTCAGGTTGATGATCCAAGTGGAAGTCGTTCGGACACAAACAGAATTACCAACAGCTAGATGACAGATGATATCAATTCAGTATATGCAATATGAACATATGTACAAAATTACACACCAAGCACGTTGGGCTGCT